CCAAACAGCACCTCTCCCTCAAGATCCTTGACTGCCATTCTACAAACATGATTCACTGATGTCTAAGGTGTTATAGGTATTCCTGAGAGTGGTGCAGTAGCCAACCTGTACAAGCGTACATGGCTGCCCTGAGGATTCAAACCATCTGGGTGTCTGGACTGTGGAGACTGGGAAAAAGACCCTGGGTGGAACAGCCAAGGATCTGGCTGGGGGACCCAAGGACACCTGCTTCCCTTCTCCAAGTTCAGTTTTTCCGGCTTTATAAAAACAGGAGAAAAACAAGTTCTAGTTCTGATGGATAATTTATCTAGTATTTCATTTTCTTAATGAGGCACTTTCATCTTTTTCTTAAAAATATTAACCTTGATCTTTCCAAAGGTTTCGATGAATTCTTCCTGCAGCTGGCCTCACTGCCAGGGGGCTTCTGAGGACTGACGTTCCACAGTACCCATTCGACACAGATTTCTAAATCACACAGCTCCTTCTGTGTCACAAGGATGGGGATTGGGAGAAGCTGTGGTGATGCTTCACGGCCAATCTCAGAAGGGAAGGAGAGGACCCGGGGAGCTGCTTAGGGGGATTTCATCACAAAGATGAGAGGAGAGACACAAGCACGTCTTTCTTTACATCCATGTGGCCCTGCTCCCCCTCAGTTGCCATCACACATAAGAGCTGCCCTTTGAGATCCACACTGTAATGAAGGGATCTGTTTCCTCCTTACAGTCTTCCCTGAGGGCTGGGACCGAGGCAGACTCATCTGTGGGGCCTAGCACCTATGCATGGCACACAGAAGATGCTCATGGATGCAGTGCTTGGAGCTAACCCAAAACAAAGGCTACTACAAAGTTCAATTTTCGAAGCGGAAGAGGGCAGAAAGCCAAATGATTTACGCAGGCAGACCTGGTCAAGGGGAGACCATAGGCTCTAAAGGCCAGCCAAATGCAGCTAAGCTATGGACAGAAATGTCAAGGCTGGATGATGTAAGCACAAGTGTGGCTTACAGCAAGTCTGTATGCGGTGAAGTGTACAACAGTGTGCATATAGGGAATAATTTAGATGCCTTGACAGAGTTCCCAATGAGGAAAGCCTGAGAAAGCCTTAAAATTACCTTGCGTAAATTCATTTTAAAAGGGAAGAAACAAATTAAGGGAAGAAACTGGTCCACAGAAGCCACTTTCAGCAGTCGAGACCAGAACCCAGGTGATCCATGCCCCAGCTAGTGCTCCCACCATCCCCACCAGCCTGCCTACCAGGTCCGAGCTGCTGCTGGCTGGCCATCTGCTGAGGACAGTGGTCACGGCCCCAGAAGGCAGCCAAATGCTGCAAGAGATGTTCCTGAGCCTCAAGCCAGAGTCCTATTGAATTCTACTCTGTTGGTTTCATTAGCTCATAGAGATCCTCTTGGATCTTGATTTGGTTATCCATATTAGCTAACAAGTCCCAACCCCTGGGCCCTTCTACGAACATGAATAGCAAGGCTGTCTTTAGTCAAGTCACTGACAAACATCTGAACATGAATGACCAATGAACCTTCGTGTAGGGTGGTTTTCCCTTGAAATCTTAGTCAGCTACTCTGTGCAAAGTGCTATGCTAACCACTAGAGGGACACAAAGTCAAAGAGTCATCTGCAAACACTCGGAAGGCAAAGGGAGGTTCCCATGATGGTTTCAAAGCCATGGACCCATTAGATGCTCATGACAACCCAGTGACAGACATTGCTTTTATTCCCATGAAACAGTTAAGGGAAGGGAGACTCAAGGAAGGGACCTGCCCACTTTGCTCAGCTGGTAACTTGGAGCCTAGACTCTAACCACAGTCCATATTGTTCATCTACTTACTATACCACATACCCTAACCTCCAGAGTAATACACTTTCCTATTTGTGGAGAAGCAACACACGCAAAAGCTAATTATAGCAGGAAGAAAAGGAAATGAGTGTTTATGTGGGAAGTACATTGTCTTAAGTCCCATGCATTCTTATGGCTAATATTTTATATTGTGCAGGAAAGAGAGAGTATATTCTAGGCACTCAAATGTGCAGCATTTCAAGCTGTGAAATGTTCTGTTGGGAAAGTCCTTTACATAATATATGCCCCTTACATGTTATTTATCCATCTCCCACTTGATCTTGGAGGCTTTTCTCAGGGGTCACGACTAAGAAGCTTTTCTGGACTTGCTCGCTTCTCCCCCATGCGGGATGGGGTGCATCCTCTGCGCTCACCCTCACTGCCAGCATCAGCTGGCCCACCTGTGCCTCCCCACCGGGCAGGAGACCCCTTGCAGAGAGAGGCCATGCTTTGTCTGTCTGTGCAACCCTGAGGCGGGTGCAGAACCTGCATGTAACAGAGGTCAATGGACATTATGGAGTAAATACACATTTCTAAAAATGTCATTCTTTGAGCCTCATCAGTACTTGTGGCCACCAGCAACCTGAAGTCTTTTCAGGTATTTGCCTACATTACTTTTTATCTAGTAAGAAAATGTGCCTTCAGTTTGCTCATCACTGGTAGGGTTTATCTCCCTATGACACACGTCTGTTAGGACAATCTGGTGAAATGTAGCAGATACAATTTAGATATCCAGCAGTATCCAAGAATTAATCTTACAGGAATGTATGTACAGAAGTATGAGGAAAAATACATGTGTACTTCCTCAGAGTGAAGGAATAAAGAACTTATACTTAGAAATGTTTGTCTGACGATCCATAATTTTATTAGCATGATAGTCATGCTAATATTTCCACTGAAACTAGTTTGTACTTTTTAGGTGCTAATAAATTCCTTTAGCCCCCAGCCTAGCATTCGTTTGCAGAGGGGGAACCTGACCACTGAAGCTTAGAATAGTTTTTTCTTATTTGGTTCTTATATTTTACTCTAAGTAGAGTTTATTGTTGTTGAACAACAGGCAGTTCTTTAGAAAGCTTTCTTCTGGGGAGACATGAAAACAGAGTGAGTTAACACTCACCATGCGCCAGGCACGATTCTGAGAGCTTTCCATATAATAACTCATTCCATCTTCACTACAACCCCATGAAGTAAACACTGTTATCCCCACTTGACAGATGAAGAAGCTGAGGCCTAGGGAGGCTCAGGGTCATGCACGTATGAGGGGAAGAGCCAAAACCCAGGTAATACGGCTTCAGGTGTGCTCTCGTCGACTCAGTTAATGGCAAGGGTCCAACTGTAGAGTTTCTAGTTATAGACTACTTCACACGTGTGATCTGACTCAAATAGTCAATTCTGAGTTGTCACAGTCACTGTCCTCACCTCCATTTTACAGAGGGAAAAATGTAAATTCAGGGAGGTAATATCACGTAAATGGCAAATGGAGAAGCCAGGCTTAAAATCGAGTCTGGCTGCATCCAAAGCTACGTCCTTCCTAAAAGTGTTCCCAGCCCTCCAACCTCAAGCTCTAGCTGTGAACACCAAACTCACTCTGGGATGTGGCAAAGCTTGCTTCTTCAGCCGATCAGCCTGGCAGAGACAGAGGAAACGAGGTCTCGAGATCAGCAAGGATACAGGTCGACTGTGGCCATGTCATTTCCCACCTGGACGCAACATGGATGGGTCTGTTCCAGTTGCATTGTAGGGAGAGGGGAACTTTCCAATCTACCCAGACCCACCACTGTGCAACCTCTTCTCAGTCTCCCTGAGAGGAAACTGAGAGGGAGGAGGTGCAGGCCATCTGGGGAGACTGATGCTAGGTCTTACCTGACTAGTGAGTAGGGTCACTGTTAAAAGTCTGTCTTCCACTTCCTGGTATCACGCAGGTGGGCAGGTAAGCTGGTAAGTTCCAGCCACCTTGCTCTTCACCTCTCCTATTCCTGATCCTTGAAGCCGGGGGTGTGGACAGACTTAAGGCCACCTCAGGAGTCCCTGTCAGCCTTCTCTTGCTATTTTGCCTCTGAGACCAAAGCAGAGTGAGTAATTTAGCCTCCACCTGCTCTGAGACCTGACCGTCTTGCCCTCTTAGCCGCCTACCACACAGTCGGCCAAGAGGGTTAACAGGCCAAGATGGGGTGAGGCTCACAGAAAGGCACAGGGGCCTTCCTACGTCCTGGGCTCCCATGTAAGTCTGTCCGACTTCTACGTTAGTGTGTTGCCCTGGCATCACACGGCTAACTATGAAGGGGTACTTCGCCTTCCTTCAGTCTCGGGACCCTTTCCATCATGCACATGCGGCATCTACCACGGGGCCTGATGTGATATATACCCTCAACAGAGTTTTGCTGAATGAGTGATTTCTTAAGCTTAAACAGGCCTTGATGGGAAATTCCATATGGGTTTTCTATCCAATGTGGCAGCCACCAGCAACAAGTGGCTCCTGAGCCCTTGAAATGTGGCTGGTCCAAATTGAGATGTGCTGTAAGTATAAAATCTGGACTGGTTTTCAAAGACTTCATATGAAAACCAAATGTAAAATATCTGGTTAATTTTTTACATTGCCTCCATATGAAAATGATAATATTTGGGATATACTGGATTAGTTAAAATACTAAAGCTAATCTCACCTGTTTCATTTTCCTTTTTTAACACTGGGTACTAGAAACTTAAAACAACGTTATGTGGCTCACATTATATTTCTACTGGACACTGGTGCTACACACCAATGAATGATCCATTAACTCTACTGAAACTCTGAAAACAAATTCCTAAGATCCTAAGAAAGTAGCATGAATGGCCGCCAGCAAATTGCTTAACCGTGGGACTTGGTTTCTGTGTCCGTAAGAGGTGACTGGTAGAAATATCTGCCCCACTGGGGTTTGTTATGAGATCCAATATGTGAGCGGGGGTCTGCTTAATGCAATGTGTGATAGGTGACTTCTGTTGTATGGGCTCATCCACACCTTCCCGAACCAACATCCCTGGGCTGGCAGAGTGCGTCAGTCAGGGTGAAAGTGGGAGTACCCCGACAACCAGAGATAAGCTTGCCCAATGGGATTCCTGGGAAGAGGGGAAGTGATCTGGTCAAACGGGAAAGGCCAGTGACTTTCTTAATACATCAGTCAGAATAGTCTGTCCATCTGTGAAAGGCTCCCTTGGTGACTTACATTGTACGGCATAGGATGCTAGAACCACTGCTGAGTTAAGAGGGCAGGTTAACCTGTCGGGAGAAAAACATATTAGCAAAGTCACAAGAACCAACAGCCTGAAACATCCATGATGGGCGACACCAGTCTTCTGTCTTAGATTAACCATTAAAAAACATCACGAATCATAATAAAGATCATTTTAGGATGTAACTCAAACAGTACACATAAATGTAACACTGAAGATTCACAACTAAAAGAGAACTTTGTCATGTTTAAAATAATACACATTAATACAAACACCATGAAGCTGGAGGCCTAATGCTGGCCAAGGTTTTGGCTGGTCAAGAAAGGTCAGGCTCATATCACTAAGAGGAAAAGTGAGAAAAATTATACTCTTAGATCAAAGCCTTCGTATCTTTCTAGTAAAGACGTGAGACTTTTCGTAGGGCTTTCTAACTAAATCCCTGACTTCTGCCACCTTTCTAGAAAGGTGACATCCTCTTAGATGGGAAAAAATAGAAAAGGATCTTAAAATTTTAAAACTCCTGTGAGTTCTAAATTACTTAGTAACAGTTACTTAAGATTCCTAAATCTATTTACCCTCCTGAAGCTTCCAATCTATAGGGGATGGTCTGTCCGCCTCCCAGTTTGCCTGCCACCTGGTAGAAATCCATGGATTAGACATTAGACTTGAGCTCCCTTCCCCTCAGGCTCACTGCCCTCCAAACACCCTGTTTCTGCCAATGACACCATCTCTAGCTTAGTCATACTTTGAATCCTCTGGTTGCTCCCTTCTCTCTGTCCAACCATGAACTCCACCATCTGCCTAGGAGCTCGGCCAGCAGACCTGGGCCAGGGATCCCTGCCAGCTGGAGAAATACACTGCAGAGGGGCTGACTAGAAGCAGTGCGAATGAAGGCTTGCAGGGTGGGGAGACACAGATTTTGAGAGCATTCTTCCCGGCAGCCCTGGGGGAAGTGGAGAAAAAGTGCTGTTTCCATGGCAGCTCATGAAATTCCCAAGATGTGAGTCACCCCCATGTCTCTGACTAATCAGGTTGGCCAACGCAGGGTTCCCCTTCCTGTCTATTGTGCTATGCGCTGTCCTGAAGCCGCATGAGAAGGGAGCCTTCCCTATGTGAGGGGCCCCCAACTTTCCTCAAGTTACTAGGTGTTCCCTGCTAGAACTTCTAAACGATCTCTCCCAAGTTTGGAGCTACGTCCAGGGATATTCACCATCTGTTTGTTCATCTGGAGACCCAGAGAGCCCGTGGGGAGAGCAGACACCAGCCACTCGCTCTCCTACCAAGATGGGCTTCAAGGAAACCTAAGTCAGTGTCCCTCCTAGAGGCGGAGCAGGTGAATGGGACTCAGGGAACACCTGAGGAGACAGGCTAAGAGGGTTCCATCCACATGGAAGGAACAATCCTAGAATAAGTCAGAAATGAACATTTCCAAAGAACAGGGTAAATGCAAACTAAAAAAGAATGCTGAAAGTCCGCACGGCCATTCAATGTGGCCCCTAAAGAGACCCCTTTCTTTCCCTCTAGGCTTTGGGGTCTCCATCTGATGGCCAAGGTCACCTAGCTCAGCTGGAGGGAGAGCATGCCTTGGGAACTGCCCGCCACTGACGGCTCAAACAAGCCAGGGAGCCCAGGAAGAAGGCTAACCAGGTCCACCCCGTCTGTCAAAAGAGCCACAGTTAAAAATGGCCAGACCCACCCTGACGTACCCAGGAAGTGTCTGGTGACAGGAGACCCTGTCCTGAGAGAGGTGGTGAAGGCCACCAGCACGCCTGATGAGGAATGCCAGGGATTTAAGGCAGGATGTGTCCCTCAACAGGTGTCACCCAAAATAACAAGGGGTATTGTGTTGGGAGAAGAAAAAAGGAAGACAGTCAATTCCCACTATGGGGAACACTGGACTGAGAGCTCCTGGGGGGTGAGGGTCTTGCTTTATTTGACCAGCACAGCACAGAGCCCATCGTCTAACAAGTGCTTGAGAAATACTTGTTGGGAAAAGCAATTAGTGCGTAGGGGAGAGAGACAAGTTTCTGCTTCTGCAGGGGGCAGCCTGGACCCAGAAGAGGGATGGGTAATTTCCCTCTAGAGTCACCCTCACATGTGAGAAGGCTCACAGAAGGGGGAGCTCATTTCTGGGGGTGCTTAAGCAGAGGCCCAAGGCCTGTGGCTGTGCTAGAGAAGGGGCTCCTTCCTCCTCTGAGTGAGAGAAGAAGCTCAATTACAAAACTTCTCCCATTCTAGGAGCTCTGAACAGTCAACAGGTTAGGGCAGTCCAGATTTCAATATGTGTCTTGTTTCTAAATGTTCCTCCCCCTCCCCCACCCCCAAGATCTTCACGGTCCCGCCCGCAAACCTCCCTTCCATCTAGATGAAGCCCCCCCAGCCTCTTCCAGCCTTCCCACCCTTGCAGCTGCTCTGGCCACATGCCTTCTGCGTGAACACCTCCAACAGCTCTCCTCTGCCTGCCGGACACAAGATGCCGGTCTCGCTTTGACATGAAGAGAGGCCCCCCCTTTCCCTTACTCTCCTGTAAGCCTCCAACATGTGCTTTTCAACTGGGACCAAGGTGCTGGGGCAGGGCAAAGCCTTCCAGCCTGCACTCCTCCTTCTAAAACCTCGTGGCAACTGGGGTCTGCACAGCCCATGCTGGTCCCAATCGTCTCACGGGCTCCTGTCTCACTGCCCCCAACCACATGGCAGGCTCCCCCTCACGGCGGCTTCTGAAGACCCTCCTTGGGGCGGGGGCTGGCAGGAGGAAAGAGGGAATGAGGAGAATGGGAATAAGCTGACTGTTTCTACCAGTTCACTGGCTGCAGGTTCTCCCTTAAGGAAAAGTCAGGATTTGCAGGAGGTAGCTCAGGGACAAGTGGTTTGGCATTTCTCATTCCTTCCTGAGCCATTTCAGATCCTTCCAGCCCCTGAGATGGTCCTGCCACACAAGACGTGCTGAATCACAGGCAGACGCTCACATCTTCCAGCACAAAGTCTCCCAGAGAGAAAATGAATCATCTAGAGGTACTAAGGGGCTTGGAAGTGGACCAAAATTAGGCCTGAGCTGTCTTCCTGAATGAAGCGTGTCTCACATTCTCCCTGTAACTTTTCTCAGGTCTTTACCAGAAAGATAACTGTATCTTTGCTAATAAAATTGAAACATGAAATGAAGTTTATCCATCCTCAGCTTCTCCAAATCAACACTGAGTTAAAAACAGATGTCCGGGAGCGTAATGTTGTACAGGATGCTGCTTTCAACATCCATCTTTTGTTTAGATTTAATACTGTTTCCAGAAATACATGCTCATTAGATTAAAACCAGGAATTTTAGTGTCTGGCAACCGACAGGAAAAGAAGAATGTGAAATTCTCATTACCTTCCTTCACAAATATCCATCTTCAATTGTAAGAAATACAAATGCCTACGAAACAATTGTTTTTTATTAATGCATAATACTCAAATTGAGATACAAAAAACAGAGGTGATAAGTCAAAGACAAGGTTTGTACATTTGGAAAACAAGATACATGAACACACATTTTCGCCTGAAGTCTCGGGCACTCTTTTGTACCTTGCAAAGCTGCCCCTTCGGTAACAATGCTTCTGTGTGGCTGCTGATTTCCAGACAGCCTCACGCCAGCACATACCGTCCCAGGGATGGCTGAGCCCGCCAATGATCAGCCGGTGCTCTTGCAGGTGGACACCCCCACCCTGGACAATCCCTATCAAACTCGGGGCATCCGAGAGCACCAGGCCCCAGGGGCATCATGCACAGGCAGCCCCCCAGGTGCTGGGGGGCGGTGGTTCAGAACACACCCACATTCCCTCTGCATGAAGCTGCAGAGAGGAGCTGGGTCTGTGAGGACACTGCCTTGGCTGGGTGCAAACACCCAGCTGAGCTGTTTCCCGTGTCCTGGGAACTGTGGGTACTCCAGCAAAAGCATAAACATCAGTCAGCTACCAGCTGCCAGGACCTCTGAGCTGAATTCGGCACTTGCCCGTGAGCCACCAGCAATGTCAAAACCCAGGACCTGATTTGTGGGCAGTGCTCGGGAACCCACCCCGGGCCCCACACCCTGTGAATCTGTCCCCTGTCCAGGGACTGGGTAAGAGACAGCAGTTAAGAGTGCTGCGCCGGCCACCAAGGGCCATGGAAAGCTTTATATTTAGGGATGTGGCATACACCCACTTGGCTACTAGCTCCCACTCCTTTTTAAAGCCCAGATTCAAATGGGATAGACATTCCAGTGTCTGGCCAAGAGGACAAAAGGGAAACTTCTTGAAATATAATACAGATGCAGCAGAAGTGTTCTGGGGCAGGAGAGTGATCATTTGGCAATTTGAAACACATGCGGTCTCCTTAGTCCTTCAAGTTTATATGTCCCAAGGTCAAGGTGCTGGTGTTCTGAGACATGAATGCTTCACTTGGCATTACAACCTCCTCTCTGCACAGATCTGGGCTGGGTGCAGGGAATTCATAACGTACTGCCTCATTTCAGCCTCCTACCAGCTCTGAAGTAGGTACCACCACCTCCCTTTTTTGAGGAAACAAGACATTCAGATAGTTTACATGGGGTCAGTTAGATCTTATTTTAACCTGGACACTCATGCTATGAAAAAACCTGACTATGCTACAAATTTCTTATACATCTAATGACTTCAGGCTTAGGGTCAATTTCCTAACTCTGATATCCTTATGTAGCCTGTAGTTATCATCAACTCTCCTCAACGTGTTGAAGACCAGCATTGAGACACCACGTAGCATACATTTGCTGATTCATGCTTACTCTGTATTGGAGACTATCTTTTTCACCTAGGAGAACATCATCAGTCCTTTCTAGTTTGTTCCTATGTTTATCCAAGCTGACATGCAACCAGAATTAAGTGTTCTCTCCTCCTACAATAGTACTGGGAGGAAGCAGACAAGGGAGAGAATCTGGATAATCTGATGGTAAATCTGGACCTCCAGTGACGAACCGGGCTAATTGGTGTATCTTCCTAGGGATAGAAATGAGAACACAAACCTGGACATCACCATTCATCAAAGGCTACCTTGTCTGAGTCAACCTCATGACATCACACAAAGAGGTTGTCATAGTGGAAGGAGGCCCAAATTTAGGGGATCTCCTGGGAATCCTGAAGGAGCCTCGTTTTGAGACTGCCAGTAAATGAAATTCTGTGTACAATGACCTAAATTTATCGGGAACAGCAGTTGTAGAGGCTTCCAGTCAAGGAGAGGTCTAACAATCAGAATAAAAGAAAATCATGCAGGGGCGCCTGGGTGGCTCAGTTGTTAGGCGTCTGCCTTCGGCTCAGGTCATGATCCCAGGGTCCTGGGATCGAGTCCTGCATGGGGCTCCCCACTCTGTGGGAAGCCTGCTTCTCCCTCTCCCACTCCCCCTGCTTGTGTTCCCTCTCTCGCTGTGTCTCTCTCTGTCAAATAAATAAATGAAATCTTTAAAAAAAAATTAAAAATAAAGTCAACTAAGAGGGGCGCCTGGGTGGCTCAGTCGTTAAGCGTCTGCCTTCAGCTCAGGTCATGATCCCAGGGCCCTGGGATCGAGCCCCGCATCGGGCTCCCTGCTCCAGGGGAAGCCTGCTTCTCCCTCTCCCACTCCCCCTGCTTGTGTTCCCTCTCTGGCTGTGTCTCTCTCTGTCAAATAAATAAAACCTTTAAAAAAAAAAAAAGAAAGAAAATCATGCAGAAGAGATGTCAGCACACCTGACTCAGAAATGTAAAAGTCCACTCCTAGAGTATATCCCATCCATGATCTCAACTTCACAAAAAAAAGCAACGAATGCCTCCCCAGATTTTAGAAAACAAACAGAAAACAACAAATACTACTTTCTCTGACACTTGAGAGCTGAACTTCTTTAAAAGGAACTTACTTTTGGATAGGCTACAGAGGTGGGCTTAATAGGATACTGTGTGTCAGGAATATAAGCAAAACTCTAAGTTAAAAAAAAAAAAAAAGACCTGTGAATTAATGGTGGAAGTCTAGCTCAGCATAAGAAAAAGATCTGGCAGTCCTGCCTGCCCACAAGCTCCACAGGAGCCATGTGGGCGGCTGCTGCAAAGACTCCTGTTACATTGAAAGCTGGTGCCCCAAATCCCAGGAGGTGACAGCCACACTGCACTCCAACCTTGGGGCTACCACCCACCTTAAGTTGGGAGGTGGGGTGGTAGGGTCAGGTATCAGTCCTGAAGCAGTGAATTCTAGCAGAGATACTAACAAACTGACTTTTATCTTGGACTTAGGGAAGAACAAAAATTCATCTGTTACTCATCTTGTGCCCAAATATGCCTCTCGGCATCCCCCACCCACTGCATGATTCTACCACCAAGCATGTCTAATTCCCCTTACCCGTGACGGCCCTTACAGATCTCAAGGCAGCCTGTTTCTCCCCAAGTCCTCCCTCCATCCCAAACCTCCTACATTTCCTCAAATGTCCCTCAAACGACAGGGAGCCTCAGCAGGAGGATTTTGTTGGCACCCAGAGGTGGTGAGCTTCTCTCCGGTGGGGTAGGGAAGTGGATGCCCAATGACCAAGAGGGGCCCTGGAGAGGGACTCTTGGGTTAGGCCAGCCCTAGCAATCCCTCCACTCAAGTTCTTTGTTTGGAGAACTCTGACAAGCCCGCTGGTCACCACACCCCTCTGGTTCTAGGATCACAGGGGGCAGACAGAACCAAGGGTGACAATCACTAGCTTAGGCAGGGCGGTTCATACATACTTGTTGGAACCTATCAGTTGCTCAAAAATTTAATAGGTCACAACTGGCATTTTAAAAGAAGGAAAGAGAAAACAGAGAACTTGAGAGTGCTCTGCGCTTCCTCTTGGTTTATTAAATATTTGCTTCTGTAATGTCTATCTGGACTGCATTGTGAAGCAAAATATATTTTTGCTGTGTGGTTGTGATTTAAAAATCCACGGGTTAAAACCACACACGTGTACACACACACACTCTATCATAACGTTTTTAAAGCATCCCTTGAACAGAACTTGATATTTAGTAATGGCCTGGGGGAACTCTGGTAGGGTGATTTCTATAGATGTCGCCCCCTGGGTCCATCCGCTCATGAACTGAGCTAACCCCTTAGTCCACCGGCATGAGGAACCATTATGGGGAAAACTCAAAACATCATGTGAACTTCCCATGGTGGCCCAATGAGCCCTACGGACATCTCTCACTCTGGCTTAAAATTCAACTGAACAGTAAACACAGTCAAATCTCCGATGTCTGCTATTGTGGAGGGAAGAGGTGCACAAAGAGGGCAAAACAGAATAATAGACTAATATTTAGCCTTTAAATAAACATAACTAAAAGTTAAAATGTCATCCTGTGATTACCTTCAAAAACAAAACAAAACAAAACAAAAACAATATTCAACGCCTGAGTTAATGTCACCTTCTTGGTGATGGCTTCATGGGCACAATGAACACAGAATAGGAGTCAATATTCCTGAAGTTTTGTTTTGTTTTTTTTCTGATAGAGAAAAAAACCTCTGGAAGTTTCCCTCCCTATGAAAAATAAACATATCATTAATAAAAGGGCTCAACGTTGCCATGGAGGAGAGAAATTCGAGGCAGGGTCGCTGTTCAAACACCAACAACCTTCCTGTGCCCGCCCCCTCCATTCCAAACCCTGTTCCCCACCCAGAAAACCCACGAGCCAGTACAAAACAAGGGCCAGGACCTACGCCAAGCCCTGAGGGGTAAACAATCCTATCTCGGCTCTCTTTCCCTTATCTGGCTCACATTTTGCCTGCACAGCCTTCACCCAGGAGAGAAGCTGCTCCAGCTTGCATTCCTTTCTATTTCTACCAACTGGGGATCTGGTGGAGAATGCTCAGTTCAGACACCTCTTGTTATCCTAAAGAGCCTCCGTTCTAGCCCCACAGAGATACCGTTGTTATTTGATGACACGACCGTCTCAGCAAACTGGTCTCCCAAACCCCTGCCCGCATAGCAAATGAACAAGTGCTTTCTTTGGGTGCCCGCAGGCTCAATGGGCAGGAGGGGTTGGGGTGGTGGGAGAGGTAGGAGGAGGTGGATGGCAGTGGGCTCCAAATGGCACCAAATAAGGAAGTAAGTAGGCCCCAGACAATTAATTAGCTGATGAAAATTTCAGTATGTACCCCTCTGATTTTTACTTGTTTCATAACCGCTGGTGTGGTTATACCCAAAGAAGTGTAAGGCCACAGTGATAAGATAAAGAGTACATTTTTAGTGGTTACCCATTTTTATATACTACAAAGGAAACTTAAAAAAAATGTTATTACCTGGTTTGTTCTTCCTGTAGTGTGTTGGGATCAGGTATAAAAAATCTTACTCGAAAATGCAGAGTACAGGGGAAACCTCCTACAACATTTTTCAAAAACAAATTTAAGTTTTCCTTTTAAAAAAGTCAATGCAGGTAAGCAGCTACTCTCCCGTAAGTGATGCATTTTTTTCACCAGACCACAGCTTTTTTCATCAATAAACGGACTAATTTCAAAAAAGGAGTGCACAAGATCATTGTTTAGAAATCTCCAAGTCTGCAAAGTCAGATATTTTGCAACAGAATGAGGTACTATCCCCTCCCTACTACAGGTTTAACTTAGGGCTGTGTTCAAACAATGCACTCCTTACCTGTATCAGGAATTTTAAAAATCCTTAAATCAATAGATTATACAGCATTCATAAAGAAATAATCCCACAAAGATAGCGACTTTATACTTTTCCCAAACATTTTCATGTACATTCTTGAACTTAAACGTCACCATGATAATGAGCAGGTTAGGCTGATCTTGATGGCGCTGTTTTACAGATAAGCCAACAGGCATAGAGCCTTGCCTTCAGTTGTACGGCTGATGACCAAACCAGAACTCAAGCACTGAGGTTTTTGATTCCGCTATGCCCCATCTCAATCATTTTGATACTGGGAAACAGTTCATACTTTTAATGCACAGTGAATTCCCAAAGTGATGAACATACTAGCAAATATTACACAATTAACATACTCAAATATGGCTTTATGCAACGATACCAAGAGTCAATTTGCTTGTAGAGATAAAATTAGCCCATTTCTTTTCCTGGATATGGCAACAGGAGATCAGACTGTGTTGCTAAGATTCCGTGCTCTTCTTCAGGTCAACTTTACCCCTCTCCATCACTCAGTAAATGTTCACCGGCCCTATCTATGTGCTCAGCACTTTGCTGCTTCTGAAACTCAAGCCTTCTCCACCCTGCTCCTCACTGATCCTGCCACGGATCTGCCGACCTCACCCTTCCTCTCTTTAGTACCCTCTGTCAGCGTCAAAGATATGAGTGGTGTGTGTGCGCCTATGAATGTACCTCTGTACAGTTGCCTGGGTACCAGTGGGTGGCGCTGTAACTTGGTACAGTCTGACCACCTGCACGGCAGGGGACAGCTCAGTCTTCCCACTGCCTTGGGATATCCTTTCAGCTCCGCTGCTCACCATAACTTGTCACTGTATGTCTCAGGATGTCTTTGTGCACCCAGAGCATCCCATCAAATGCTCAGAACTAGCCTAGAACCATCACTCTCATCATCTACATCCCCACACTTGGCTGTCAGCTCCTTGAGGGCGGGGTCCAAATCTGATTTGGACCAGACTCCCAGAGCTTAGCCCAGTGCGCTGCCAAAATCTGAGCTCAGGACACATCTCCTGAATGAATGAGTTAGTGACTATAACTATAGTCTATGGACTCAGTGCTCTGAGAATTCAAATGGAGGGCAGGTATTTATCTGCACAGTGGCTCTGCGGCTCTCCATGGGTAGGTAGTTCTGAATGCTATGGGAGGTAAGGGCTTGGAGGCCCAGGCTCCACGTGAGGGCAGCAGTGGCACCACGGCCATGGTTCCTTGTCTCTACTCCTTCCCATCCGGGTGCTGGGGCAGGTGGGGGGAGGTGGCATACGTGTGTGTCCACTTGTGTGAAATCCACCTGCTGTTTACCCCTCAGCCATTCATTGGCCACCTCCTATGGAGGGGGTGCATGGTAAGGAATGCAGAGAAAATGTGGCAAGCACTGTTCCCTGAAGGAGCTTGCAGTTTCCAAGGAAGATTAAGGCAGGCAACTATGAGATGAAGGAGAGTTACAACAAATGTAAGGGAGGGTAAGAGGCATGGCTTCTAATAGAAGAGATGCGAGTCTGAGTGGCTAGGAAGAACAACAAGATTTGGATATAGGGAAGAGGGAAAAGCATTCCAAACAGAAGGAACAGACTGAGGGCAGGCACAGAGGAATGTGTGCAGGCTGGCAGGTCAGTCAGGTTTGTCTGGGGCAGCAGGTGCATAAAGGGGAGCACAGAGTTCAATGCGGGAAAACCAGGCTGAGAACAGATCTGGGCAGAGGGTGGGGCAGGGCATGCTGTGAAGCCCTTCCTAACTGGGAGTTAAAATATGGCACTGGGGCCCACTCATGGCTGGGGAGCAGTATGTTTTATCTGTGATATTACCTACCTATGCCTTAGGCTCCAGGGGGAGGGAGTGTGAGTGCGTGCGTGCGTGCATACGTGCGTGCGTGTGTGTGTGTGTGTGTGTGTGTATGCACGTGTCTTTCCCACCTTGACTCTCACACTGGGCTAAGAAAGGCCATCCTCCTTCCCTTGTAAGAAGAAAGTAGGTTCCTGGGCTCTTGGCTGCCTTCTTTTACCTTTCCCTTTCCTGCTCACAGCTGGTGAGGGCTCATCTGGAAGCATCTCTGCTCACTGAGAAGTCAGACAGGGGGAAGTCGGCTCACTCACATCGCCTGGACCACCTGGAATCCAGGTCCCAGATGTTACAAGCACACTGATGGTTAGAGGAGAGAAATGGGCTAGGATATACTAACACCCCGTGTTCAACTGAAATGAGAAGGTCACACTCACCTTTTAACTGCTTCCTGATGGGTTTGCTTGATTCCAGCCATCTCTGTCGGGTAAGAAAACATAAGCTATAAGACCAAACCATGCAGGAGTCCAGCATGTCTTAAAGGGATGGTACTCACAACAGAGTCTACTGAGTCATCGCCATGCTGCAAACCAAAATACTCCTTTTCAGTCACACCCAAGTGGTTGTATGCCATATCCAGAAGAACTTGACCGGTATCTTGTTTCTAGGGAAAAAAAAAAATGTCTAGTAGGCAAATGTTTAAAATGAATCAAGAACTGATAGTTAAACATGTCTTTATTATAGGGGCGCCTGGGTGGCTCAGTCAGTTAGGCAGCCAACTCTTGTTTTTGGCTCAGGTCTTGATCTCAGGGTCCTGGGACTGAGCTCCGCATCAGGCTCTACACTCAGTGTGGCGTCTGCTTGAGGATTCTCTCCCTCTCCCTCTGCCCCTCCCCCTGCTCACACACATGTGCTCTCTCCCTCTCAAATAAATCTTTTTTTTTTTAAAGATTTTATTTATTTATTTGATGGAGAGAGAGACAGCGAAAGAGGGAACACAAGCAGGGGGAGTTGGAGAGGGAGAAGCAGGCTTCCCGCTGAGCAGGGAGCCCCATGCGGGGCTTGATCCCAGGACCCTGGGACCATGACCTGAGCCAAAGGCAGACACCTAATGACTGAGCCACCCAGGCGCCCCTTTTTTTTAAAGGATTAACAAGAATTGACGCTTGGGGCGCCTGGGCCTGGGATCAAGCCCCGCATTGGGCTCCCTGCTCAACGGGAAGCCTGCTTCTCCCTCTCCCACTCCCCCTGCTTGTGTTCCCTCTCTCGCTGTGTCTGTCTCTGTCAAATAAATAAATAAAATCTTTAAAAAAAACAAACAAACAAGAGTCGATGCTTAATCAACTGAGCCACCCAGGTGCCCCAATAAATAAATCTTTTTAAAAAAGTATTGTGGGCAAAAAAGGAGTTAAAACATTTAGAGATTTTATGCACACTCATACCTCACAGTAAGAAATGCTTTAATAAATGTCATGTCAAGAAGTCACATGGTACAGGGGCGCCTGGGTGGCTCAGTTGGTTAAGCGACTGCCTTCGGCTCAGGTCATGATCCTGGAGTCCCGGGATCGAGTCCCGCATCGGGCTCCCTGCTCTGCGGGGAGTCTGCTTCTGCCTCTGACCCTCCCCCCTCTCATGTGCTCTCTCTCATTCTCTCTCTCTCTCAAAAAAATAAATAAAATCTTTAAAAAAAAAAAGAAGAAGTCACATGGTACATATGGGAAGTAGGGCTAAGAAGAATCACATATGTACGATTTAAGACGGCATGGTTTCATTTTCTAAGACCTCTTCCTTCCCCTTAGCTGAGATTCCCAAGTGATGTCTGAAATGGAAAATGAAGATATCACAATGAGAGTAAACTTTCCATGACCTACCCATGGATTATCCACAGCAAAATGCTAATCCCACACCAGTTTGTTGGCGCCTTGGGAGTGACGGAAGTGTGTACAGGCAACAACTCTACTAACAGTGTGAAGGAAGATGGCTAAGAACATGAAAATGCCATCCTAAACACCCTCAAAGTGACTTGGTATGTGACACCCAGGGGGATTATCTGCCGCTCTGCTCCCCGCCATCTGAAGTGAGAAGCCAGTGGAGACATTCAAGCACCCTTCACGTCCAGAGCAGGACTCAGCCACCATCACCACTCAGTGCTGGGCGTGGGGACAGAGCCACAGGATGTGTGCTAGAGAGGCCAGGTGTGGAAGCAGTGGCCGGAACGTGGTGTGTGTCAAATGCTGGAATACTCAGGGCACGATAAACGCACAGAGGACAACACAGACAAGTGGAAGCAGCTGCTGACCTGGTCTCGGGGGGCGACAGGGCTGAGTGTCACCGCTCCCCTCCAGGTGAAATTAAGAAAAGGCATTTTAAGCACAGGGCCTGGCACAAAGACACAAAGGAGGTAGACAGCATGGTGCCTCTGTGAACTCGCAAATTCTCCTTTATCAGGCCGACTTCTCAGGAATCCTTTGAACCAAACCATATGACTTAAGGACAATAAGACTCAGAAATAGACTATATAGGACAAGCAAAAGACAGTTCCTTTTCTGAGTGCTTGAGAGCAGATAATGTACCTGGAAACAGGCCACAGGGACCAGAAAGAGGACAATTAGGGAGCTGTCAGGCCCCCTTCTGCAGCCTCTTCTTTGGTGGGATATTGTATTGTTTGGTCGTAAGTGTGGGAACATGAGACATGCCCATTTCCCCGAACATATCCCCCCTTCCTGCCCTAGGGCCCTGCACCTGCTACTTCCTCTACCCAGAACAGCTTCCTTCACAGAGGAATCATCAGAGTGTAGAAAAGATGGCCCGGTCCGCATAGTCCAAGTTAGGAGATACTCTCCTGGTGCATCAAAGAGCGATCAGTTCCCCTTGTTAAAATTTCTACAGGATTTTATATTTAAAATGTAAATAACCACTGAACATCCACAACAAGCCAGATGGGATACTATGTGCACTTTTTATATATAATCTCTAATCTCTGTAGCTACTTGTGAAGTCATCACCAGCGTCCCCTTGGCTGTGAGCAAAGAGAGGCCCTGGGATGGTCTGTCCGCCTGCCTGACTCCAGTCTGTTGGCTGCCAAAGCCTGCATGTCCCCACCGCACTGCATCTCCCCTTTAAGAGTGTGAAAATCACCCATTCTAGTATATTCTGCCCAACTTTCCCAGTTCTCAAAAGGAACTTAAATATACTAAAGGACACATTTATAAAGAACAAGCCTCCCAGCCCAGTTCCCCACCAATGAGAGGCCATCTTGGCTGCGCCAGGTCACTGTCCATGACCGGCTTGCTCCTTGGGCCAGGCTAAGAACAGCTGATGCCCAGGCCACCTTCCTGATGAGGTCCCCTCCGGCTCACGAGATGGTGGTGTAGGCTCCGGAGTTGGTGCCAATGATCCCTACAAGTAGAAAATCTAAAGCGAATGGGATTTAAGCTGCCACCAGACCCTCAGATTCAAGTTCAATGTGAGTCAGCTTTGACCCGACTGCTGGAGGCTTGGGGAAGCAACACATGAACAATGGTGTTCCCGACCAGGAACGACAGGGCACCTGCTGAATGCCAGACTGTGTTCCAGGATCATCACTCTGGGCAGGCGCTATCCTTATCCCTGTTTACGGGGCTCATCACTCCTCCTTCAGGAACTTCTTACCTGGGATTCTCCTCCCTTCCAGGATAGTCTGTCCCCATCTCCTGGAGTGCCTGTTTCTTGTCTCTCAGACCTTTCAACACTGAACCTTGTTCGCTCCTTCTGTGCCCTCGCTTCTCAGGTGACCTCATCCAGTTTCGTAGCTTGCAATACCATCTCCACCCTAGTAAGCCCCCCATGTGTATCCCAGCCCAGACCCTTCTCATTTGTACAGTGATCACCGTCTCTATGTGGATGAGTAACAGGCACCTCAAACTCAACGTGTCCACAACAGAACCCCAAACCTGCCCTGCTTACCGCTGTTCCCATCTCTGTCAAATGCAACTCCGTCTTGCCAGTTGCCCAGGCCAACTTGAGAGTCACCATGAGGCCTCTTTCACATCCCAAATTCCATCTGTCAGCAAACCCCACAACCTCTGCCTTCAAAAATAGTTTCAGACTTGGTTTACTCTTAGCTACTACTTTCACATTACCACCACACTGTCCAACCCTGCTCCTCCTTTCCCCTGGGCTGTTATAATAGTCTCTTAGCCCTTGCCCCCCAGAGTCTACGCTGACAGAGCATCCAGAATGGTACTTGAGTCAGATCATGTAAGGTCTCTGCCCAGACCTACCAATGCCCTCTGCCTCCCTCAGAATAAAGCCAGTGCCCTCAGGATGACCTATAAGGCTCGCCACAGTCCCCCTGTCTACCTGACACCAATTACCTCTGACCTCTCTTGCTACTCTCCCCGTTGCTCATTCCACTCCAGACACACTAGCTTCCATACTGTTCTGCAACTACACTGAGTGGGATCCTGCCTCAGGACCTTTGCACTGCTATTTTTTTACCTGGAATGTGCCTCCCCTCCAGAGAATCACATGGTTCTTGCCCTCACTTCCTTTAGGTGAGGTTTTCCCTGATCACTTCTGTAGCAAGACAGCCCCGCCCCTGTCCTGCTCTGGCACTCTCTACCCTCCTCATCCCACTTTATTTTTCTTCTAAGCACATACTGCCTGACAAAGTATACATTTCTTTATGGTCCATTTCTTCACACTAGGATGTGAGCTTTGAAAGGCCAGACACCTCGCCGTTTCATTCACTGCTGTATTCATTATACCCAGCATGAAGCCTGGCACATAGTAGGTGCTCAGGAAACATTTGTTGGATAAACATTCACATTCTTGTCAGGAAGAAGATAAATAGCAAAGGAAGAGCTCCCAAACCGACAAAGGAGCCAGTCCTATACTGTCATTTTACAGCCTCTGGAAGAGACACCTGTGATCTTTTCGGAGCACCCACCATGCTGTGACTTCATGCAAACCGCCCTCTCCTCCTGGCTTCTTGGCCAAAAAAGGCCATAGTGAGCTGGGGTCAGCAGGAGGCAAACTTAGGGGTGGGGTGGAAGACCCAGGGGCCAGTTATTATTACCCTTTCCAGTCCTGTGGCCTTCTGTTACCCCCTAGTTGTTTCCTACCCAGTCTTCTCTTTCTGACCCCTTCCTTGCACACCGAACTTTCCAGCCTGGGGCAGATGATGGCAGCCGGTCCAGAGGAGGTGAGAGACACGCAGAGGGCATTGGCCTAAGCACTGCCTGGGGTAGGGCAGGGCAGCGTGGACTGCTACGGTTCAGGCATCTTACTGCTGGCCCGAGATGGAAGCCGTGTTTCCAGTCCTGCCTCTGTCGTGGGCTTGAGGTGGGAGATGCCAGGCTCTCTCTGAGCCCTGCCATCTATGAGCGGAACCGTCTCGCCACCCTCCAGATCGGACCCATCCCCTCACGAGTGTCATAAGCACCTGCTGTGTGCCTGGCTCAGGATCAGGCGCAGGGGAAATGACGCTATTCCTGTCCTCAAGGAGCTCACGGTTTAAAGAAATGAAGATGTCACAGAAGAAGTAACATCAAAAGGTCTCTTAGTTCGTGTCACCAAGAAGAGGGGTTCCGGAAGACACTCCAGGTGAACAAGAACGTGGGCAAAGTTTTTAGGGTTATTTCCAGTCCAGTCTCAACATACAAGATCTGAGATCTCTCGCTTTCATTTTATTTTATTTTTTTAAGAGTTTATTTATTTATGGGAGAGAGAGAGAAAGAGAGAGAGAGAACACGAGCAGAGGAAGGAGCAGAAGGAGAGGGACAAGCAGACTCCGTGCTGAGTGTGGAGCCCAATGCGGGGCTTGATCCCAGGACCCTGAGATCATGACCTGAGCCGAAATTAAGAGTTGGACGCTTAACCAACTGAGCCACCCAGCGCCCCGCCCCCCAAGCTTTCATTTTAAAATAGTTTTCATCTCTTGGTTTATAAAATGAAGAAAAATTATTTCTTAGTGGCATTAATTCAGAAAAAAATTAAATTTGGAGAACTTACATTAGCTTTAAAGGTCTGTACCAAGCCATCTAGAAAGCGGATGCTGCAGACGACTTCGGATCGAGTTTTCTCTTTGGGTAATTCTGAGGTGCGTATATTATTAATTCTTCCACCCAACGCACGTAACCGGGAGGTCATAACTATCGCTGAATAACCTGTAACAGAAGGTATACCTGTTAGCTCTCTGACGTGCAAATTACCCGTTACATGTGGATGCTCCTCACAGTCAACCCATCCCTTGCCTGCTTTGACCCTCATAAACTGAAGAACTCACAGATAAATGAGAACCAGATAACACACCATGTTTCCATTTGAGTTTTGACTTCTAAGTGCCTCTAAGCAAAATTTATTGCTCAATTATAACATGTTAATAGAATTATATGGGTTATTTGTGTGTCTTATCTCCCTGGTCTAAATCTAATTTATATTTCCCAGGCTTTTAATTTTTTATACTTTAAAAAAAATATATATTTGTGTATTCTACTCCTATTTTTTTATTTTTTGACAGAACTAAATGTGGTATAAAAATTGATCTAAATACGAAGACACTTATTGGTAAAATAAACTATGTTAAATAACTTATATTCATTAAAAGACACCACTTAAAAGTAAAGACAACCCACATGGACACTTGCAACATGTGTATACAAAGAATATATAAAGAGCTCCTGCAAATCAATATGAGAAAAACCAAGCAATCTGGTAGAAAATGGGAACCATATTAGTTGTCAAAAAAATGCAAATTAAAACCCACAAAGTAATAGTACCACATACCCACCAGAGTGGCCACAATGAAATCTGACAAAACCAAGTGTCGGCCACAGCGTGCACCAACTGGAACTTAAAGGCACTGCTGGTAAGAATGAAAATTAGCACAACTGTTTTGGAAAACTGTTTGGCAGTATTTACTAGAACTGAACATATGTATACTCTGTGATGTAATTCCACTCCTAGGCATATTCCCAGCAGAAAAATTTAGATCTATCCACTAAAAGACATGCATGAGCATTTTTATAATAGCCCCAAACTGGAAAAGACTCCAATGCCCATCAAGAGAATGGGGAAATTATGGTAGAGTCCTACCACACACAACTATACAGCAAAGGAAATAAATGAACGACCATTAGGCCAAAAACGAATGGATTCTTCTAATGTTATGTTGAACAAAAGCTGCCAGATACACCAGATTACCGACAGCATGAACCCATTTATATAAAGTGCAGAAACAGGCAAAACTGATCAATGCTAATAGAGGACAGAAGCATGGTTACCACTGTGTGAAGTGATGAGGGGTGGGTGTTTGTGTGTGTGTGTGACGGGAGTCTTCTGGGATGCTTATAATACTCTATCTATTGATCTGGGTATTGATGATACTGGTGTATTTACTTTGTGAAGCTTCATCAAGCTCTATACCTATCTGTGTACTTTTCTATATATTTCAATATCAGGTTCACTTAAAGTAACACGTGTATGCAGAGGGAGTTAGTTTAAAATCCAACTATGGTGTGTATTCAGGGAACGGTGAGGAAAGAGGTTTTCCTAGTGAATGTAATTGTAGAACGGTAGACTAAAAAAGACCGAGGAAGTGTGCAACCGAGCACACGGTCGCAGCGTGCAGGCAGGACAGCCACGGGTCTGGGCTAGCTCCTCGGCTTAGGGAATGGACAAGGTGTAAATCTAACGAGGCTGGATGGAAGAACAGATAAAGACGAAGGACTTCAGTGCAATTTAATGTTCTTTCCATTAATTCTCTGTAAACTTTCTATGATGAGCTGGGCTTTTGCACGTGCTATTCCCTCTGCCTAGAAAGTTCTTTCTGCTCCTCTTCAGGCCTCAGGACCCAGCACAGGCGTCACTTCCTCAGCAGAGCCTTCCCTGGTGTCCCTAACTACTCTCTATCTGCGGTACAAGCTCTCCTCTACGATGCTCTGCTCGTTGTAATTCCCCAGCTATAGCTGATGATGTATCTAGTGTCTGCTTCTGCCACTAGAAGCTTCACAGGGCAGGAGCCCGTCTGGTTTCGCTCACTGCATCTCCCAACACCTGCCTCTGGTAGGCAGCCAATAAACAGCTGAACAAATCAGTACAAGGAAGAATGAAATGAAAAATGAAGCACGGGAAAAACAGCGCTACCTGGGGCGCCTGGGTGGCTCAGTCAGTTAAGTGTCTGCCTTCGGCTCAGGTCATGATCCCAGGGTCCCGGGATTGAGCCCTGCATCGGGCTCCCTGCTCAGCGGGGAGCCTGCTTCTCCCTCTGCCTGCCGCTCCCCCTGCTTGTGTTCCCTCTCTTGCTGTCTCTCTCTCTGATAAATAAATAAAATCTTAAAAACAACAAAACCCCCAAAAACCAGTGCTACCTGACAGACTAACGGGTTAGTGGGAGCAGGAAGGAGGATGGAATGAGGGTGGGGACATCCCGTAGACCAGGGCTCCTCACACTGTAACGTGGACACACGAGACCCCTTGGGCATCTTGATCAGATGCAAACTAGGATTCAAGCAGGGCTGAGTGAGGCCCTACAGTCTGCATGGAACGCAGCCTCTGATCCAGGGTCCACACGGTGAGGAACAAATTGCAGCACTCAGTGTCAGGCAGGGCCAGAGATCCAGATTTGGGAATCAGTAGCAAGGAAGGGGTGAGGACAAGGCAGACTGGAGCCTGAGAATCAAGCCTTAGGGAACCATGGAGGCACAGCCGATCAGCAGGAAGCTAAACCACAAAGGAGGTGGAGGCTCCAGGAGAAAACGGTGCCCTTGGCCCCTTCTCCTACTGAAGGAGCTCAGACATACCTCTATCCTCCTGCAGTCAGGGACGGGAAAATCTCAAATATTAATAACAGAAGTCCCTGGGACCAGCAGTGGAAGAAAACTCATTCTGTCACTTACACAATTCCACCCACCCCACCACCTCCACCTTGCCCTTTCCAACAAAAATGTCATCAGAAGCAGGGATGCGTTTTCTGAGTAATGCCAAAAGTGATCAAAAGACAACAAATGTGTTCCGTAATACTTGAACCACATTGCATTTAAAATGTCAAACTGATTGTTTAATCTTTGTCTATGAATTTCAGGTGGGCTATAATTTTTTTTTTTAAGATACAATAGAATCATTCTGAGTGTGCTTCTTAGTGGGAGGTGCACAGCAGTATTACCTGGGGTGCTTTCCAAAAAAAAGAAACAAACAAACAAAAAAAGGGCCTGTCCTGGCCACATCCATAGATGGTGATTCAACATTGTGGGGTGTGACACTGAATGACTTTCCCTTTGGGAAGCCCTCAAAGGCAGGGCCAGGCAGTCAATGGCCCGAAGAGTGGGTTTTTAGGGAACATCAGGATGTCTTTCGGACGGTCACACTCAGAATACAGGCCCCACGGAACCTGAGCCATTCACTGAGGGCGCGTGCGTGAAACAAGAGGGCCGTTCCTCAAAACAGCTCAAACGAAGAGCTCCTCACGCCATGACTCTGGATGGAAAAAGCCAAAGGTGATGTCAGTCAAGAGTTTCCAAGAGAAAGCACGGTGGACTGACGTGCTCATCGCAGGCACTGATCTTCAAACTGCCCCTCACCCGAGCAGCTCTTCGTAGCTGGCACAAGCATGGCTACCAGTGGGACTTATTAACTTGACCATGATTAATGGTGCTTCCCGGCACAGTCCTGTAGCCAGCTGACAGGGGACATCAGCAACCCAGAAGGGACACATCCACCTCTCTATGTAAAGGGGCTTGAAACCTAATGACAATGTCTTAAAGAGGAATTTCATGGAAGTCGCAGAACTGTTCTTCCCACAATTGTTCCTAAAGCAAGCCTTGATAAGAGCAAGCCTCACGCTGAATAACCATGTAATTGAACCATGTGTTTTCAGATTGTCTTGAAATTCTATCTTAAACAATCGGGTCAAGACAATGGGTGCTGACTGACTGCCCTGTTTCCTGTACCACAGCAATTGGGGAACTCGGGCTTTCTATGGCTTCCTTTATAAGCCTCTTCATTCTAAACAAAACCACAACCCAACCAGGAACACACTGGCCTCCCTGACCCCAAGTGATTATGGCTGCAACTGATGCATTTCATGATCTGGAAGCCAAGCTTGCTCTTCATTTTTAAAAACAAAATCAATCAATCAGTTAATGGCTTCAGTATCTATTCTGCACAACAGAGGTTCTACTGTGACTATGGTTCTTATCCGACATAAAGGAAGAGGCCACATCTCACTTGGTGCACAGTAGGGGCCCAATGCATACCACGAGGGTTAGGGTTAGCACGTGTAAAGTGCCTACACAATGTGAGACACATAGCAGGTACTTAATAAAAGGCATTTTATTAATAATGCTAAGCTTCTAATCCATCAGGTGCCGATTAGATTCTGGATTTTGTAGGCAATCCTGATTTTAAATACCTTACAGATATACAGATATTCTGTTTCTTAAATTTTTAATAAAGACGGCTAAGGTTAAAAGATACAAGAGATGTGTAACGTACCTATCAGCTGCTCTACAGACTCCGGTCCCAGAGCAGGAGCACACTGCCTGGGTGTGGCAATCTGGGGCACGTAGGACACCAGAGCCCTCGTGGGTAGGGCTGCATAACAAGGCTTCAACCACTGTCCCTTCTGGGCTTCCTGTCTGCCCTGGAGCTTGGGACGGGGGAGAGGTGATGCTTTATTTCCTAAGAGTCTACACGCAGGGGCGCCTGCGTGGCTCAGTCGTTAAGCGACTGCCTTCGGCTCAGGTCATGATCCCAGGGTCCTGGGATCGAGCCCCGCATTGGGCTCCCTGCTCAGCGGGAAGCCTGCTTCTCCCTCTCTCACT